AATGATTCAATGAGGAAATAGGACAATCATTTGAAAAATGCTGGTTCACTGGGGGATGCATGAGTTTTCTTTAGGGGAAAAACTTTTGTTCCATGCAAAGACTTTGACACTTTCATAAGAGAATTGTATATGGTGATTGTAATGTTGAACTCTGGAGGAACATCGGAGAACTATCAGTGCTGAAAATTGTCCTCCCGATATCAGAACTCTCCCACCATAGAACATATACGCCATATTTACAGCCTTCAGTGGAAAAAAATAAAACTGATATATTCATGCCTGGAAGTGGATGAGCAGCCCTGTATATCTACGTTTTGGGTACCCCTACAATGGCCAGTGCAGGCTGGCTAAGTATTTCATTAATTAACCATAACAGATACTCATAAGGGTAGCATAGACTATAAGAAGTCATTGTGTTCTTCACTCTGTTTTTATAATCAGAGTAGGGCTGCAACAACTAATCGACATAATCAATTATAATCGATTATTGAAAAAGTTGTCAACTTTTTCAATAATCGATTAATCGGCTTCCGATCAGTTGGCCCTGTTCACAGCTCCACACGCTGTGCGCCGCACCTCCTCCCCATCTCACTCTCGCCGCTGCCAGACCCGCTCGCATCCACGCTCCACACACCGCACCTCCTCCCCGCCTCACATTTCCTGCCCATCCACGATCGGCAAGGCACGCGGGGAGATGTAGTAAGGAGGAGCAGGGGTGGGGGGATGACAGCCGCTGATAGACAGGTCCAATCTCAGAAGCAAGTTGCTGGAAGACTGCTCAGGTAAGCCTGCACTTTCCCACACATGGTGCTCTATAATGTATTGCTGGGATTTGTATTTCTCTATAGCTGATGGTACATTGTACTGTACATTATACATAGGAATACAAATACCAGCAATGCATTATACACTGTATGTATAATGTATTGCTGAGATTTGTTGTACTCTATAGCTGGTGATATTCTGCATTGCGCTGTATAGAGGACTACAAGTCCCAGCAATAATACATTATACAGCGCAATGCGGAATACCACCAGCTATAGAGGACTACAACAAATCCCAGCAATAGTACATTATAAAGTGGTACAATGCTAAATACCACCAGCTATAGAGGACTACAAAACCCAGCAATAGTACATTATACAGCGCAATGCAGAATGCCGCCAGCTATTATGTACTATTGCTGGGATTTGTTGTATTCCTCTATAGCTGGCGGTGTTCTGCTTTGCGCTGTATAATGTGCTTTTGCTGGGTTTTGTAGTCCTCAATAACCGGTGCCATTCTGCATTCATTACTGTATAATTTTACACTTTCCATTTCACTATATTGCACACCACACTATCTTTTTTTTCTTTTTTACTTCCACCGCTCCAAGCTTGCTCCTGTGATGGACTACAACCTCAATACAAACTAGTAGTCCTATCACTGGAGCCATTTTTTAAACTTTATTTTATTGTTTATCCGATTAATCGAACTTAATAATCGGCTAACTAATCGATTTTGAAAATAATCGTTAGCTGCAGCTCTAAATCAGAGGAAAAAATGGGATAGCCTTTTTTTAAAACGATGACTTGAGATTCATTGTGGTTGTTTGTAACAATTGTGGTTGTTTGTAGGGGAAATCTTTCAATGAGGACACTTGTTCCTGTGACAACTAAGAGGGGATTTCCCTCACATTAGAAAGATATCATCTAACTTCCTGTTGAGCCTACAGGAGAGGAGGAGAAAGGAAATCTCCCTAATGAGACACAGATGGCAAACAACCCAAATAAGGCAACAGTTTTAACCCTTCCCTATCTAGAATAAAAACAATGGCTTTAGATTTATTTTAAAGTAGTTTTAAACTCTATTTTTTCCCAGCAATTAATCCAGATAGAACATATATGAATTGCTCAGCACATTGATAGTCAGTGTAGAAGTAACCCCTTACATTGGTGGTCAGTGTAGAAGTGACCCCTATTACATTGATGGTCAGTGTAGAAGTGACCCCTTACATTGGTGGTCAGTGTAGAAGTGACCCCTTACATTGGTGGTCAGTGTAGAAGTGACCCCTTACATTGGTGGTCAGTGTAGAAGTGACCCCTTACATTGGTGGTCAGTGTAGAAGTGACCGCCCACATTGGTCAGTGTAGAAGTGACCCCTTACATTGGTGGTCAGTATAGAAGTGCTCCCTTACATTGGTGGTCAGTGTAGAAGTGACCCCTTACATTGGTGGTCAGTGTAGAAGTGACCCCTTACATTGGTGGTCAGTGTAGAAGTGACCCCTTACATTGGTGGTCAGTGTAGAAGTGACCCCTTACATTGGTGGTCAGAGTAGAAGTGACCCCTTACATTGGTGGTCAGTGTAGAAGTCCCCCCTAATATTGATGGTCAGTATAGACGTGACCCCTTACATTGGTGGTCAGTGTAGAAGTGACCCCCTACATTGGTGGCCAGTGTAGAAGTGACCCCCTACATTGGTGGCCAGTGTAGAAGTGACCCCCTACATTGGTGGCCAGTGTAGAAGTGACCCCCTACATTGGTGGCCAGTGTAGAAGTGACCCCCTACATTGGTGGCCAGTGTAGAAGTGACCCCCTACATTGGTGGCCAGTGTAGAAGTGACCCCCTACATTGGTGGCCAGTGTAGAAGTGACCCCCTACATTGGTGGCCAGTGTAGAAGTGACCCCCTACATTGGTGGCCAGTGTAGAAGTGACCCCCTACATTGGTGGCCAGTGTAGAAGTGACCCCCTACATTGGTGGCCAGTGTAGAAGTGACCCCCTACATTGGTGGTCAGTGTAGAAGTGACTCCTTACATTGGTGGTCAGTGTAGAAGTGACCCCCTACATTGATGGTCAGTGTAGGCAGGAGATCAATCTACTACTGCTCTCCCCTCAAGGAACCCCTTACAACCTCTAAATGAACCCCAGTGGAGAAAGGCTGCTTTAAAGTGACAACTCAGTCGTTACATTTTAAAAGTGCATTCAAGTTATGATCAGTCCCTGTCCCAATCCCATACATTCCTATGGATCACGTCTCCGAATGATCCAAACCGCCTGCCGCCCAAAATGATCCCTGAGCTATTTTTTTCACGCTGACCAGCCAGATTACATATAGATTTCAATGGAAACATGCTGATCAGCAAGTTTTTGGTTTGTTTGTTTTTAATTGCGTTCCAGTGCTGAAACGCGATAAAAAAATGCTCAAAACCGCCCTTTTAAAATTCACGTGGAAACCGCACATGAATGCATCCGCTCTGGTGTGACTGGGGCCATACATAGGGTTATGTCTTGTAACTAAAGCACAGATAACAAGTACAGCTGTAGTGATAGTGATGAGCAATTTGTGATTTGATGCAGATATATTTGCTGCTTTGCATTTGTTTTAAGGCGACACTAAACTCATCAAACCCGCCTGGAGGGTGGCTACTTATGTCCCCCATGGTCCCTGTGTGTGTTGTAAAGTAGCCACCGCTCCAAGATCGCTCCTGTCATGGACTATATATTTCAGTACATTTTAGTTAATGAAACATAAGATTATAGTCCATCACGAGAGGGAGCTTTGGGCAGTGACTACTTTTCAACACACACAGAGACCATGGGGAACAAAATTAGCCACCCTCCAGAAGTAAGGACAGTGTCAGCACCAATTCAGAGATGATTTGACGATCTACAGCCGAGTGATACACAAATAAGACACATTTTTGTTAACAGAATACGTGAATGCATTTTTAAGATTTAACTCCTGAGTTTAGTGTCACTATAAAACAAATGCAAAGTGACAAATATTTCTGCATCTAACCACAAATTGCTCAGCACTATCACAACAGCTATACTTGTTATTTGTGTTTTAGTTACAGTAACAAATCTAAGCTACAGTGGTACCTCGGTTCATGAACGCTTCCGTTCGCGAGCAATGCGGTTCGCGAACAGGAAGTTCGGCAAAATGTTGCTTCCGTTCGCAAACTCCGCATCAGGTGACGAGCACAACCGCAGACATCTTCCCTACTCTGACACATGGTCGTGGCTTCTTCTAGTCGAGGTCGCGGTCTGATCACAGTTCGATTCGGTTCGCGACCAATTCGGTTCGCGACCAGAATCGTGGAACAAATTAAGCTCATGAACCGGAGGTACCACTGCATAACCCTATGTATAACAGGGACTGCTCATAACTCAGGCATGGTCTCAGAATACATTTTAGCTGAAAACCCAAGTTTACCAGGGAAGCCTATACCCAGTATAATGTAAAGCAGTGGGTCTGGTCGCATAAAAGCACACAACCTAAACAACACATCTATATGTCTATAAAGACAGAAACAGCACCATGATATATCTTATAAGATACAATTATGTATACTGACATTTTAAACAACCAAAAAGTAATTTTAAAAAAACTGCCAGAACCATAGACAAGCATCTTGTAACATCACAAGACAACCATTCTGTGATCTATCCTGGCTGTAGACCTCCGATCTATAGTCATCCATACCGGTAAGCAGCATTCTTCGCTTTTTTTCTAATATACACACAGTCTTTTTTTTTACCTTGAGACATATGTTGCTCACTCCCCTCCCCCTAGAAGCAAAACTTGAAAGCTGTCCAAAACAGGACCACACACACACACACAGAGAGAGAACTCTACAGGTTGTAATGTGCAAGTCTTCCTGCAAGGGGCCTGCGCTCGCTTGCTCGCAAAAAGGGACACCTTCAATGACTAGTGTAGAGCAGATCAGATATGCTGTACAATGCACCACAAGCTAAAGTAAATCCAGCAAACTCTAAAGACAAACAGCGGCAAAAGCTTGGTTGCTGTCGTGAACGTTAGAAGCACGCAGACCTGGCCATAGGGACAACAAATGGACATCCCTATAAATCCGCTGTACAAGTAAAACATTTCTATGTTGCTTTAAAAGGCAATCTTACTATAATCCAGCACAGCAAGCCAAACGTATAACATATAAATACAACATACTAGTAAGATACATACATAATAAGAGCGCTTATAATAAGCGCTTCTTACCTTCGACCCAAAGCTCCTCCATATTTGTCTCGAGGTTCGCTGCTCGTAATCCTACAGCGAAAGCACCAAATATCAAGAGGCCCACTACCAAAAACTTGCCGCAGTTTTTTTGTATGTAGCAACCAAGTTTGAACAACAGTCTTTGAAACACTCCTCGGAGCCACAATGGAGCTTTCCTGCCCGTAGCCTTCCCCTAGAAGAAGAAAATAAAGAATATTTACAAGAGGGCAAACCTTTTCCTATGGGCAAAATGCAGCTAACAATGTCATTTCCTTCGTTGTGTCAAAATACCCCCATAGTCCATGTCTACAACACCGTGTAGCCAACAAATGCATGGGGGAGCATTGGATACAGCGATCTTGTTTCTGTGTCGACAAGCAAAATATATCTACTACAGGCCGCTATAAATTGTTATTATAGACAAAAAGACATTTGTATATAGAGATGGCAGACCTCCGGTCATACTGGCGGGTGGAAGATTTACACTAGGTCCACATATCTTAATTTCTTTATCTTTTGAGGAAGCGTTGGATCATGGGGCCACTGAAACACCTAAACTACTTTGTATCATCCCATGAAGGTTGATTTACTAAACAGACAGACTCTTCCCTTTGGAATGGCTATGTATACTTAGAGTACTTACTGTAGAGTGCACCTTCACTCAGCTTAGTACAAGAAAAAGGTGAAGCTGTGTTCACTTACAATACCCAAACATGTGCAGGGGAAACCCAAACAGGATTTTGGATTTCATGTGAGTGGATGATTAAAATGAACACAACTTCACCCTAGTTAGGAAGCTAACTGAACATTCACTTTTCAAAGTGAACAATCAGTCTATTCTTTTGGTAAGGAAGCTGAAACAGTGTTCACTTTGATTGCCCAATCACGTATAAGGGAAAGGGGGAAAAACAGTAATCACAACTACACCTTATTTACCAAGCTAAATGTTCATTCCCTTTGCTAAACAGTCTATTCCTTTACTAAACTGACTCCATATTTACCAATGAAGTATAGTAACCTGAGGGATGCACATACTAACCAATGGAGGTAAGACATAGTAACCTGAACGATGCACATACTAACCAGTGTAATGTAAGACATAGTAACCTGAAGGATGCACATACTAACCAATGTAAAGTAATGTAAAACATAGTAACCTGAAGGATGCACAACCTAAAGAATGTAATGTAAGACATAGTAACCTGAAGGATGCACTTACTAACCAATGTAATGTAAGACATAGTAACCTGAAGGATGCACATACTAACCAATGGAGGTAAGACATAGTAACCTGAAGGATGCACTTACTAACCAATGTAATGTAAGACATAGTAACCTGAAGGATGCACATACTAACCAATGGAGGTAAGACATAGTAACCTGAGGGATGCACATACTAACCAATGGAGGTAAGACATAGTAACCTGAAGGATGCACATACTAACCAGTGTAATGTAAGACATAGTAACCTGAAGGATGCACATACTAACCAATGTAAAGTAATGTAAGACATAGTAACCTGAAGGATGCACATACTAACCAATGTAATGTAAGACATAGTAACCTTAGGGATGCACATACTAACCAATGAAGGTAAGACAGAGTAACCTGAAGGATGCATATACTAACCAAATGAAGGTAAGACAGAGTAACCTGAAGGATGCACATACTAACCAATGAAGGTAAGACATAGTAACCTGAGGGATGCACATACTAACCAATGAAGGTAAGACAGAGTAACCTGAAGGATGCATATACTAACAAATGAAGGTAAGACAGAGTAACCTGAAGGATGCACATACTAACCAATGAAGGTAAGACAGAGTAACCTGAAGGATGCACATACTAACCAATGAAGGTAAGACAGAGTAACCTGAAGGATGCACATACTAACCAATGAAGGTAAGACATAGTAACCTGAAGGATGCACATACTAACCAATGAAGGTAAGACATAGTAACCTGAAGGATGCACATACTAACCAATGAAGGTAAGACAGAGTAACCTGAAGGATGCACATACTAACCAATGAAGGTAAGACATAGTAACCTGAAGGATGCACATACTAACCAATGAAGGTAAGACATAGTAACCTGAAGGATGCACATACTAACCAATGAAGGTAAGACAGAGTAACCTGAAGGATGCACATACTAACCAATGAAGGTAAGACAGAGTAACCTGAAGGATGCACATACTAACAAATGAAGGTAAGACAGAGTAACCTGAAGGATGCACATACTAACCAATGAAGGTAAGACATAGTAACCTGAAGGATGCACATACTAACCAATGAAGGTAAGACATAGTAACCTGAAGGATGCACATACTAACCAATGAAGGTAAGACATAGTAACCTGAAGGATGCACATACTAACCAATGAAGGTAAGACATAGTAACCTGAAGGATGCACATACTAACCAATGAAGGTAAGACATAGTAACCTGAGGGATGCACATACTAACCAATGAAGGTAAGACAGAGTAACCTGAAGGATGCACATACTAACCAATGAAGGTAAGACAGAGTAACCTGAAGGATGCACATACTAACCAATGAAGGTAAGACAGAGTAACCTGAAGGATGCACATACTAACCAATGAAGGTAAGACAGAGTAACCTGAAGGATGCACATACTAACCAATGAAGGTAAGACAGAGTAACCTGAAGGATGCACATACTAACCAATAAAGGTAAGACATAGTAACCTGAAGGATGCACATACTAACCAATGAAGGTAAGACAGAGTAACCTGAAGGATGCACATACTAACCAATGAAGGTAAGACATAGTAACCTGAGGGATGCACATACTAACCAATGAAGGTAACACATTGTAACCTGAGGGATGCACATACTAACCAATGAAGGTAAGACATAGTAACCTCTGGGATGCACATAACAACCACTGAAGGCAACACATAGTAACCTGAAGGATGCATATACTAACCAATGAAGGTAAGACATAGTAACCTGAGGGATGCATATACTAACCAATGTAATGTAAGACATAGTAACCTGAGGGATGCATATAGTAACCAAATGAAGGTAAGACATAGTAACCTGAAGGATGCACATACTAACCAAATGAAGGTAAGACATAGTAACCTGAAGGATGCACATACTAACCAATGAAGGTAAGACATAGTAACCTGAGGGATGCACATACTAACCAATGAAGGTAAGACATAGTAACCTGAAGGATGCACATACTAACCAATGAAGGTAAGACAGAGTAACCTGAAGGATGCACATACTAACCAATGAAGGTAAGACAGAGTAACCTGAAGGATGCACATACTAACCAATAAAGGTAAGACATAGTAACCTGAAGGATGCACATACTAACCAATGAAGGTAAGACAGAGTAACCTGAAGGATGCACATACTAACCAATGAAGGTAAGACATAGTAACCTGAGGGATGCACATACTAACCAATGAAGGTAACACATTGTAACCTGAGGGATGCACATACTAACCAATGAAGGTAAGACATAGTAACCTCTGGGATGCACATAACAACCACTGAAGGCAACACATAGTAACCTGAAGGATGCATATACTAACCAATGAAGGTAAGACATAGTAACCTGAGGGATGCATATACTAACCAATGTAATGTAAGACATAGTAACCTGAGGGATGCATATAGTAACCAAATGAAGGTAAGACATAGTAACCTGAAGGATGCACATACTAACCCAATGAAGGTAAGACATAGTAACCTGAAGGATGCACATACTAACCAATGAAGGTAAGACAGAGTAACCTGAAGGATGCACATACTAACCAATGAAGGTAAGACATAGTAACCTGAAGGATGCACATACTAACCAATGAAGGTAAGACAGAGTAACCTGAAGGATGCACATACTAACCAATGAAGGTAAGACAGAGTAACCTGAAGGATGCACATACTAACCAATGAAGGTAAGACATAGTAACCTGAAGGATGCACATACTAACCAATGAAGGTAAGACATAGTAACCTGAAGGATGCACATACTAACCAATGAAGGTAAGACAGAGTAACCTGAAGGATGCACATACTAACCAATGAAGGTAAGACATAGTAACCTGAAGGATGCACATACTAACCAATGAAGGTAAGACATAGTAACCTGAAGGATGCACATACTAACCAATGAAGGTAAGACAGAGTAACCTGAAGGATGCACATACTAACCAATGAAGGTAAGACATAGTAACCTGAAGGATGCACATACTAACCAATGAAGGTAAGACATAGTAACCTGAAGGATGCACATACTAACCAATGAAGGTAAGACAGAGTAACCTGAAGGATGCACATACTAACCAATGAAGGTAAGACATAGTAACCTGAGGGATGCACATACTAACCAATGAAGGTAAGACAGAGTAACCTGAAGGATGCATATACTAACCAAATGAAGGTAAGACAGAGTAACCTGAAGGATGCACATACTAACCAATGAAGGTAAGACATAGTAACCTGAGGGATGGACATACTAACCAATGAAGGTAAGACATAGTAACCTGAAGGATGCATATACTAACCAAATGAAGGTAAGACATAGTAACCTGAAGGATGCACATACTAACCAATGAAGGTAAGACATAGTAACCTGAGGGATGCACATACTAACCAATGAAGGTAAGACAGAGTAACCTGAGGGATGCACATACTAACCAATGAAGGTAAGACAGAGTAACCTGAAGGATGCACATACTAACCAATGAAGGTAAGACAGAGTAACCTGAAGGATGCACATACTAACCAATGAAGGTAAGACAGAGTAACCTGAAGGATGCACATACTAACCAATAAAGGTAAGACATAGTAACCTGAAGGATGCACATACTAACCAATGAAGGTAAGACAGAGTAACCTGAAGGATGCACATACTAACCAATGAAGGTAAGACATAGTAACCTGAGGGATGCACATACTAACCAATGAAGGTAACACATTGTAACCTGAGGGATGCACATACTAACCAATGAAGGTAAGACATAGTAACCTCTGGGATGCACATAACAACCACTGAAGGCAACACATAGTAACCTGAAGGATGCATATACTAACCAATGAAGGTAAGACATAGTAACCTGAGGGATGCATATACTAACCAATGTAATGTAAGACATAGTAACCTGAGGGATGCATATAGTAACCAAATGAAGGTAAGACATAGTAACCTGAAGGATGCACATACTAACCAAATGAAGGTAAGACATAGTAACCTGAAGGATGCACATACTAACCAATGAAGGTAAGACATAGTAACCTGAGGGATGCACATACTAACCAATGGAGGTAAGACATAGTAACCTCTGGGATGCACATAACAACCACTGAAGGCAACTCATAGTAACCTGAAGGATGCATATACTAACCAATGAAGGTAAGACATAGTAAACTGAGGGATGCACATAGCAACCAATGAAGGTAACACATAGCAACCAATGAAGGTAACACATGGTAACCTCTGGGATGCACATAGCAACCAATGAAGGTAACACGTAGTAACCTAATACCAGTACTTGCACATAGCAACCAATGAAGGTAACACATGGTAACCTAAAGGATGCACATAGTAACCAATGAAGGTAAGACATAGTAACCAGGGTAGTACACTTAGTAACCAGGGTAGTACACCTAGTAACCAGGGTAGTACACCTAATAATTAAAGTAATACACGTAGTAACCAAAGTAATACACGTAGTAACCCGGGGAAGACTTACTTTTACAGCTTGCTGCATACATTCTAGTCAATTGCTGGGCTCCTCTACTTTTAATGAACTGTAACTTGCGGTATTAATGACACCCATTCCTGCATAGAAGACACCCTATTTTTGGGATAGCATAATTTACAGCCACTTAGAGCCTATTTACATTTGTGCAGTGCGTTGATCCACATGCATTATCTAATGCCAACGTGTGTGGCAACTGAAATCGACGGGCATCTGATGCATCACTTCCTAAATATTGGACGCGTCACCATATGTTTGCCGCAGCGTGTTGCAATGCATGTGCGTTGCCTTAGTGCACTGGGGTAATGTTTAAAATGAACAGTACCGCAATGCATTAATGCATGTACCCTGCGTTGCCGTGTGTTCCTGCAACTACAGATGTAGTATGGGACAGAGCAATCAGGAGCCTTGCTGTGGATGTCCATCCTGATACATAGCAGAGATTAGCTCATTGAGGCAGAATTGTGTTTACTAGTGAAGTCAGCCGATCCACGTGGTGACAAAGCCGAGCTGCTCAGCCTCTGCTGTCCATGGAGTGTGTACTATGAACGGAAGAGGGCAGCCACATGGTCTGCTCTGGTGTCTCCAGTGACCGATCGCTGGACATTTCTGACACCAGGACCCGTGTATAGGGAAGGGGGACACCCGGCTAAACCCTCCCCTACACCTCCCATCCAAACAATGGCCAGACGTGTCAGTGTGTGGCCCCGGGGTACTGAGTGGCCCCCCCTCCTCACACATGACAGCACAATGCATCGTATTCACCTCGGAGATCTGCTGCAGGGCGAAGCTGGCATCGCAGTAGCTCGGCCGCTTGAGATAGTCCAGGTCAGGCGGCCCCGCATCCCGCGGCTCCCTGCTCCGTCCCCTCCTGCTCCGGGCCACCGGCTGATCAGCCCAGGCAGCCGAGGCCATGCTCTGTTCGGCACTTGTAGGGAGAAGCCCGGTGCTGGCTCAGCTGGTGCAGGGATGTGATGAGGATGGTGATGGGGGAGGAAGAAAGGCAAAGGCTGCGGCTTCTCCTTCCTTGGCTGGCACGGCTCTCTTCTTCATGCTCCTCCAGCAGGCGAGGGCGGCGAGGGAAGCTTTGCGCCTTCCATGGCCACATTTCGATGCGATCCGGAGGTCTGAGCCGCTTCCCACATTCAGAAAGTG